CCCCTTTACAGACAGGAAGTGGCTTCTACTTATTGCTGCCTGCTCACAGAATCTCGTCCGGTACATCCGGTCAGAGACTTTAAAAAAAGAACAAACCCATAAGCCTATTTTCTCACCTTCAAATGGGGTTTTCACGGTTTTCAAATTCAGTAAGAGGTTTTTTTCCAGGCTGAATATCACTGAATTGCAGCACCTAATCAAGCCTTCTGCTCTCGGCCAATCTCTGGATGGGCCAAATTCTGCCTGCGGTCCCTGGAGAGACACACTAAGTAATCCCCAGGCCTTCCAGGTCTGACTCGCGGAGCGCGGAGGTGCCAAGAGCACAGGCTGAGGGAAGCAGCCTTCCCCAGATTACACACTGAGTTGCTGGTGGGGGGCCTTGTGATTCCCTGCCCAAAGATGGTCACTTTGCTACCACATCCCATTCTTCAGGGGCCAATTAATAAACACTTTCCTTTGGGGAACTGAGGAAAAAACGAGCCCGGGGAATGTCACTGGCCATTCTCTGTATACAAAGCACACAAAGGGGTTTACCGAGTTCCTCTCCAGCAGGAAGTCATTTCTCTCTGAGAGCCAGGAAGAGGAGGAGGGAAGTGCTGAGTCTGCACTGCAACACAGCCCAGTGTTTTTGTGGAAACGATGTTCTCCTAATCAAAACACAGTTGCATAAATGGACTTACTCCACTTGAAAAAAAAAAAAGAAACTTAAACCCTATAAATAGGGACCACACAGCCTTGATTAATTTTAAAGTTCTTTCTCCACTATCTTTCTTAGAAAGTAGCTAAAAATAAAGGCATGAAACTTGAAATAATGTAAGCAAGTAATCACACGCATGCACTCGGCTTTTCCCATATATGGCCGTGCTATTCTTCAGCCTATGAAAAGGCCAAATGAAGAGATGGCCAACAACCAAAATAATCCCTCAGACACTTGAAAAGGAGGAGAAAGAATTAGAAGAGGGGGTGAATGACAATGGCAAGGCTCAAAGGGGCTGAATAACACGGAGAGGGATTAGTTGCCATAGTGCTTTGAAAACACGGGCACATGCACTCTGACACCGGACTGTCCGCAGAGTCTGGTCCATGCTCTGGCCTCAGCACTGGGGACTGGCAACCGCAGTGATTTAACATAAAGGACTTGAGGAAGGAAGCAGTGCAGGGGCATGACTGAGAATGTAATCAAGGCCCTTCTCAGTAGGAAATCTGTAAAGGAGGTGAGGGCACATCTTAAGGTCAGAAGAAAGTGATGGAGACACCAAAAAGGGAAGAAGGCCAGGTTTCAAATGAGAGCGCCCAGGGCAGAGGTCGGCTCTGCACGACGCATCCCTGTGACGGGGTTTATGACGGGGTCTGCTGGGTCCTGCTGGAAACAACTCTGAGAAAAGGACACATTCAGGTCAACTAAATGCCACCTTGAGTGAGGCAGGCTGGGAAAGTCACATCTGCATGTTCTGTGGTTTACAAAGCCTTGTCTGAGACAGGTCTGGACACAAGGTAAAGCGCCTGCTTCTCTGACACGGAAACCGCGGCTCAGGGAGGGTAAGTGACCCAACACAGGTCCCTGACAGCAACTCAGGGCAAGAAGCCCAGAGCAGCGATTCAATGCCAACTCCCTGGACGGCGGGGCTGGGGCCATTGCCACCCGCAAAACTGCAGAAGAGCCCCAGCCAGAGAGCCAAGTTTAGGTCTGGATTTCGGCGTACCCACTCCCTCTATCTGCAACTGTGGCCAAGTAATGTCCCCTCTTCTGATGGGGATCCTCAACCGGAAAACGCAGGGGCAGGCGTGGGGAGGCAGCAAGGGCCGAACGTGACCTGCGTGGGTCCCCTGCCCTCTGCGCTGTCTGTGAGTCTGTCCTCACCAACCCTGGCCGGGCCTGCCGGGCTCCATCACCACTTCCCTCGTGAGACGGCCTTCCTGCTACAGACTGAAATACACGCACGGAACCTAGAGGAAGATTTCCAAAAAGCGAGAAAAACCTCCAAAGCCTAGTAACAAAAACTGGTGAAGAAGCGCCATGAATTTAAAACTTCCCTTCCAGTCCTTCTTCTCTCTTCCCTCTCTGTGGGACGGACCTTCCTTCTGAAGCTTCAGATTGCTCTTCTGAAAAGACACCCCACTTTCTGGTGACACTGTACACTTCCAGTGGCTTCCCCCGCACGCCCAGAAGGGCTTCTCCATGGCTATGGAGTCCATCACAACAACACACAACAGCCACAGAAGCGGCGGCAGCAGCACTGCCGAGGCCTGGGACGTCCCAGGCCGTGCTGCCGAGCCCTTCTGCGCCTCACCTCCAATCTCTGCAGGCCGGCTGAGGCTGCCACTCTTGCCTCCACTTATAGATAAGACGGCTAGGGCTCAGAGAAGTTTAGTGACTTGGCTAAGGAAGGCCATCTTAATAACTGCACGGCTGGGACTGAAGCTGCTGTCTGCTTAATTTCAAAGCCCATCTCCTTTCTGAGGCCCCCGGTCAACATGCTAAATGTATCGAGACTTTGGGTAATGGTGCTTGTTCAGGATTTCTTCTAGTCACCATCCTGCAGAATGGGCCACCTTCCAGGTGGTCACAAAGACAAATTTCCCACTGAAATTCCAGGGATGCTGGGAGGAGAAGTCGGGTGGGAAAGAGGTCGGCTGGCAATGATGGCACGGTAAAGTGACCCCAAATACTCTCCCTCTGCGCCACTGGGGTCGGGTCCAGAACTGTGATTTCATTTCCAAATCACTAACCTGGTGAGGCACGAGCCCAAGAGCCGTTGGAGGCTCATTCATGCGGTCGTCACTGCTGCTGGCGATGGCGTAGCCCCTGAGAAAAGGAAACAGAGTTGCTCAGTTCATAAAAGTTTATGTTTAACTTCTGTGAGGATGACCTTGAGGAGGTCACATACGATTTACAAGGATAACTGAAACGGCCCTTGCTAGGCAGCATAAGCTAGAAAAAACCCTCATTTCCCCGGGAAGAAGGCAGAATAGTAAGGAAAAAGGGGCCTGTGTTTTGGAGTCAGAAAGACCAGTGACCAAAGGCACGTTGCTGAACTTCTCTGTGCTTTAGGTCCATCATCTATAAAACAGGAACAAGACAGCCGTGAGGGCTGACGTAGGGACAAGCCAGGCAAACGGCAAGCACAACGTGCAGCACACGACAAGCCGCTGCGGGTTGCTTCCCTTGCTCGGAAGCAGGCTTGTGAAACACCACGGCACACTGTTGAACTGCAATTTTGCAACAGAAAACTTTCCAACCTTAACTTCTTGAGGAGATGTAAATGCCTCCAAAATGGAGGAAGGAGAAAGAAACGTGAGGAATTAACTGGGCTGAATGAACGCACTCCATCGTGAACAACAGTGTGATGTTCACTTATGTCACAGGAGAGCTGCGACATCAGACAAGCCCTGGTTTTAGCCTAGGACCAAGGCCAACATGTGGCACAAAGGGGTCAGTGTCAAGAACTCAGAGTCTGCTCTCAAAGATTTCATCCCAAATGCTTCCTGTCAGGGGCTGCAATACATGAGGGTACCAGGAATAGCCAAGGGGGGTGACAGTGGTAAGAGGAAGACAAAAAAAGTGCTTATTTTCATTCAGCTCTGAAGCATCTGTATGAGTTACATATGCTACCAACAATGCACAAAGGCTATTTTATTCAACTGTGTAGAAAAACTGAGTCATACAGTAAATAGGATATTCCTGTTAACTTCTGAGAACTGGAAACATAAACCTTTCGAAAATTCAATTCTTTCCTGCCTGTATTACAAATAGCACAGCGGAGTGATTATAAACAGAGTTTGGAGCCAAAGTGGGCTGAGCTAAATCCCAGCTTTACCACCTACCAACGATGTGAATTTCAGCAACTTACTTATCTTCCCAGTGCCTCAATTTCCCCTTCAAAAATGGGACTGATGGTAGTTCTTTCCTAAAGTGTTGGCTATGAGGATTAAATGAGTTACAATCTGTAAAGTGCTCAGAATAGTGCCTAGCACAATGTGAACAAGTGTTTGAAAATAGTCAGAGTGTACTTGTCACACAGTCAAGTGTAAATAACTGACTCCAGTCTGACTTCACTACATGACACCTGACATCGCAGTCTCCAGCAGATATTGAGAGGGTCTTAAATTGTTTCATTTTTCTTTTTCTTTTCCCTTTTTTCCATTTTCTGTCCTTTCCTTTTCTTTTCCTTCCTTCTTTCTTCTTTTTTAAATGACTGACTCTATTTTTTAAAATTAATTTTTGTCTCACTTTTACTCATTACAAGATGAATTAATTCTATTACTTATAAGTCACAAAGTAAGATCTTGTCCTTACTTGGGGAAGGCAGGGTGTGTAGCCCACAGCTGTGCTAATTTCAGTATCTGTAATATAACGTGTATACAACGTGTTAGACATATTGACCACCAAAAGGCCCAAGGTCAAGTTGAAACAAACCAGCCTATCCTTTCCTTCCTCTCACGTGCAAGACTAGCACACAATGAGTGCTCAATATATTAAAAAAGATTTTTACAATTGGTGTGGTATTACTGGATTAGGTGGTCAGGACCAACATTCCCATTGAGAACTAACAGAAAAGTTGACAAAGTATAAAAACCTTCCTTTGAAAGTATCAGAGAGCTACCAAGGTCAGGGAGAACTGGAGGGTCAAAGTCTGTGAGCGGAAGGGAGCCCACAGGGTTAAACCAGGCGTTGCAAGGGGAGCTCTCCCCCGTAAAGTAACTGCCAATCTCCAGAAGCAGTGGTCTTGGATGAGAAGCTGAACAGTGATATTGTCTGACTCGTGGGGCTGATGGCAAAATCCAGACTTTGAGGTTTGCCAATAAGGAAGAAACAGAGAAAATATTCCAGGCTTTGAGTTGGGACCACAGAGGGTTACATCTTTAGACTAAGGGTGAACCAGAAACAAGCCCTCATTGGATCAGGTGTTCTAGGATGGCAGTCCAGCTGGCTAAGCAGCTTGCCAGAAGGAAATGTAAATCACAAGATCTCTATAATTTTTCACATATAATGTCCAATACTCAATCAAAAATAACCAAGCAGATGCAAGGAACTGAAGAAATTTAAATACTGATTGGATATGAGATAATATTAGGGAATTGCCTTTGTTTTTATATGTAAAAATAGTAGTGCTACATACTAAAAAGATACATTTACACGAATGTAATGCTATGTCTTGGACTTGCTTTAAAATAACCCAGTGGGAGAAGGAAAAACATGGAAGTAGTACAGATAAATGATTGGCTGTGTGTTAGTGCAACATCCAACAATGTTGAAGGTGGATGGTGCATACAAGAGGGTTGATAAATACACACAAACTGTGTGTGTATCTTTTTTCATATATGCTTGAATTTTCCATAATAAAAAGGTTTTGTTTTAAAAAAAATAAAAACCAGGTATATGAGGAGACAATACATAACGGAAAGCCAACAAAAATAGACAATAGGAACACTCATAGGAGATCCCACTAATGGATATTTCTGATAAGAACTTAAAAGAAAAATATGATTAAATGTTTTCAAAGAATGAAAAAAAAGCCAATATTAAAATTTCGGCTGACAACAGGATATGTGTAAAATCAGATCAGATGGATATTCTAGAACTGAAACATATAATAATGAAATGGAAAACTCAGTGGATGGTTTAGCATGTATTAGACACAGAAGAAGAAAGAATTAGGAAGCTGGAAGATAAGCCAGAAGCAAATAGCCAGACTGAAGCAAGGAAAGACAAAATGATGGGGGTGGGGACAGAGAAGGGCATAAGCTGATTCTAACATGCAACTGGAGACTGGAAAGGAAAGAAGCAAGAAGAGGCAGAAACAATATTCTGGGACATAATGGCTGAGAATTTTCCACAATGGGTGAAAAACATCAAACTATGGATTCAGGAAGCACTGGAAGGCATAATCAGAATAAATACAGAAGTAGGTATATCATAGTCCAACCTCTGAAACCCAAAGACTAGGGGTAAGGGAAGAGAGAGAAAAACAAATTGTATCAGAGGAGCAGCAATAGACACACCTTACTCCTCAGTCAAGACAACAGCAGCCAGAGGCAACAGGTTTGTACTCTCAACGTGCTGAACGAAAACTACCACCACTCTAGAATTCTATGTACAGCAAAAGTGTCTTTCAATCTTGAAGATAAAACAAAGACAGTTTCAGAGAAAAAAGAATGGAAATATCTTTGTCACTACCATTTCTAAAGGAAATAATAAAGAGCATTCTTCAGGCCGAAGGAAAATGCCCTCGGCTGGAAGCTCGAGGATACAGAGAGAGATGAAAAGTCACAAAAAGGAAAATATTAGCAAAACGAAATGAATACCAACTACTAACAATAAAAATTATATCTTCTGGAGTTTAAAAAATATAGGACATGTTTCTAAGTGAGTGTGCGGCCCCTGCTGGCTGCCTATCCTGCTGCATCCATCTCCGCCTCTGTGTCATCACAGCTCTATTCAGAGGCAACGTGTCCAGCCAAAGCAACGACATTTGTCCGTCTTCCTTGCAGTTAAGAGTGCAAAGTCATGGGATATAGGAGTTTTAGAATCAATGGGTAAGTCTTCCAGGAGAGCTCTTTAAAAGGGGGCAGCCTCAGCTGAGCACAACTTTTATCCTTCGGTCATTCCTTTCCTCTTCACTTAACACAGAAGCAGTGGTGGAGGGAGAGCAGTCATCTTGTAACCACAAGGTGACAAGCATAAGGAAGAAAGCTAAGAGCGGCTGAGTGAATGATAAGGAACGAGAGCTCCTGATGGCATGCTGGAGCCCTTGGCCCGGCCCTGGACTGCCTGCTCTGGGTGTCTCGCTGCAGGAGAGAAATAAAGCCCGACCCATCTGGGGAAGCGACTGAAGACGAACCTCTGTTACGTACAGCCGCGTGCAGTTTCTATCACATGCCACTCATGTATTGCCTTACAAATGTCGAGGGCTAAGGAGAGCAAACTTACTCACAGAATGAAAGCATGAAGGTCCTAAGGCCCCGACCAAAATTTTTATCCTCCCTTATCGTCGGTTACCGACTAACTCTAAGAGAGTTCAATTTCAGAAGGATGTGGAGACAGAGCCCCAACGATCACGTGACAAGTTCTCCAGGCCAAAGAATCAGACCAGGAGTTTAAAAATCTCTGTTTTTCTGAGGATGGGAAGGACAACACACATCTCAGAAAAGTCAGACTGAGAAAAGGCCAAGGGAGACACAAAAGCTTTCTTTGTTTAAACTCCCGTCTTTCAACAGCAGACTCACCCTTCTGGATGTTGCAAGACAGAAACCATCAACTCCACTGCCAGGGCTCCCGCAATCATGGCCAGTCCCGGACGGCTCACAGTGCACTGCTGGTCCAAGGTCCGGTCTCTGGTTGACTGGAGAGAAACAGCCACCGACAGGCACCCTTAGTTCTAGTGCTCTCGGCTGCAGCTGCCTGAAGCCGGAGCTCCTCCACGACCAGGCTGTAGCATGTAACCAGACGCTCACTGCTGGCAAAGATCACGCAGCCTCACATAATACCATTGGTACCGAGGAAAACAAAATACACAGTTTAGGTAACTAAATGAGGTACTATGCTAAAAAGGATTAGCAGTTATAAACAAATTAAAGATCGGATGAGGCCTCGCTGCCTTACACAGGGGGCTGCCTCGTGTGTTCTTTTAACTGCCTCAGCTCTCCTATGCTTGAGGGTGGGGAGGCAGAGACACAGCGAGGAACAACACTAGAAGAGAGCAAGCGATTCTGCGGGGACATTGTGACCGTGCTGACGCCTCCAAGTGCCTGTGAGACAGGAGCAAAGGTCTGCTTCTCCTGCGGCTTCAGTTCCCGTGTGCCTCGCACAGCCAGGCGTCTGGTCACCCTGAGTGTGATCCCAGCACCTAAGTGCAAGTATTTTTGCTACAACATGGCTCCAAAGAGAAGCCTTCATTAGTTCACTCTAAGAAATTCTAATCCTCCAACTCTGGGCAAATTTAAGGGGTTATTAGAGACAATTTTGACTCTGAAATGTCTGCCTTATGAACAGATGTGACTTTACTACAACTGACCCTTAACCCTACTTGTTGGTGATAAGAACACAACAGGGTGAACTGAGTATTCTAACCCATGAAGGAGATAAAGCTACCTTGCTTCGCCTAAGAAGATATTTACCTTTTTCTCTTTATCCTGGGGAGCATAAAAGCCAGTCATCCGAAAGAGGCATGAGTTACTATGGAAGAAGCCTTAAAAGAAGGGGAAAATGCAGGGGAGGGTGCCTTCAACGCCGCTGCTCGGTTTTACCAGCAATGACTACTGGCTCTGGTGAAAGGCCGCTCCTGCTGACCCTGCTTGCCCCGCGGCATTAAGACCACAGAACCAGGGTAGTGCTCGCTGTTCAGAGAACTTCCTTTCACGTTTGACTCACCTTGCACCGCTGAGGGAATGTATTCTTCCCTCCCCTACTGGGGTTTGCAAATAAAATACAAGGCGCCCATTTAAATTTAATTTAAAATAAACAAAAAAAATTCTTTTTAGTATAAGCAGGTCTCAAATATTGCATGGGATATACTTATACTAAAATATTATTCATTATTTACCTGAAATTCAAAGTTACCTGGGAATCCTGTATTTGGACTTGCTAAATCTGACATCCGTATGGGCCCCAGGCCCATTCTGCAGAAGCACAGAGAGCTCAACAGATTTATTTGGAATTACCCCATGAGGCAGTGTCCAAGCTCAGACTGGAGTCTGGGCCTTCAGACTCCTCACTTAATACCCTCTTCACAAAGATAACGTGCACAGTGCTGAGTGCTGCCCAGGACCAGTCTCCTTGCTAAGCCTCCCATACAAATGGTTTGTAGCTGCGTTTACACTGGCGAACAGGGAGCAGCTGTACACAGCTGATGATGCCAATCAAGGCTAACAGAGGGATGATGCCACCCCCCAAACTGGAGGATTCTTCTCTGTGTGAAAAGACAATATTTAAATAGTCATAAAGGAAAGAGCTGGGTCTGTCTGCCCAAGTGGGCAAGACGGCAGCAGGGAAGGTTTGGAACCACAAAGAAATGCACTTACATCTCCCGGGGCCACCACATCGTTGCAGAAATAGCAGCCAAGTTTGTAGCCAGGGATGTTGGCAAACAGTGACGAGCCCAGGTCGGCAGGTGCCACGGGGTGGCTGGGATACAAGTCCCCGGCGCCCTGCTGCTTAGGTTTCTTCAGGCCGTGTCTCATGACAACAAATGTGTCAAACCCCAAAGCAGCATTGATGACCAGCTGTGAGTTTTGAGGAATGAAAGATCAGAATTAGGACACACTTATGTTTTAAGCTGCGGCTAACTTCCTATTTAGTCCACTTTAAATATAAGTGCTTGCATGTGAGCATGATTAGATCCTAGAAGCTAATGTTGGTAAGAGCTACCCGATACTGAGGTCTTCTGTGCAGAAGACTTGGCAAGTAGTTAACATAAGTTACCTCATTTAGTTTCATTTAAAACTTCCAGCCAATATTTTTTATTTACCGATGAGGAGACAAAGTCAAGGGGGTTATTTCTATAACCTGCCCAAGGTCACTGAGCTGGTAAGAGGCAGGTGTACAAAACCGCATCTCGAGAGTTCTCAGACCCATTTTCTCCACCATTAGCTGCCGTCTGTCGTGTCTACAGAGATTTCTTCCCATAACAGCTTTCTTGAGATATAAATCGCACACTATACAACTCACCCTTCACATGGGTTTTTTTTCTTAACACATAGGTTTTTAAGGACAGCTTTTTAAAATTTATACCAAAAGAACTTCTCTTAGTTGTAATTTAATGTGTTCTCCTAAATTCCTGTTTATACAGCAAGTTGGAAAAATAAAGGAAAACCATCCACAAAACACAAGCTACTCACAAGCTCACAGCTCAAACAATTGCTACTCATAGTCTGAGGCGTCTCTCCCTGTCATTTTCTGCCTTTCTCTCCCTTTCCCTTCCCCCTTTCTCCCTTCTTCCTGCCAGCCCCGTACTTAGTTAGGCAGACAGAGATATCTTAATATATACAAACATAATTGCTATAAAATATATACAATATCCTGCTTATTTAACATAATGTGGTATTGTCCATGTTATCAAAATTCTTTGAGAACATAGCTGGGAATGGCTGCGCACTATCCCATCATGCGAACGTACTGTAATCAATTTCACCAGTCAATTCTGTTGGCCCTTGAAGTTGTCACTGACCAAACAGTAGTGAATGAGACAAAAATCTCTGTCCCCTTGGAGCTGACACATTAATGTGAGTGCCCTTCTACTGTAAAGTACTCCAGAAGGTGGTTATGAAAATTAAACAGTGAAGGGTGAGTACTATGTTGGATGATGGTGTGTGAGGCAGACGGTCTGCAGCGGAGTCCCCATAGCACCGTGTCACAAGGTCACACAAAGCACATCTCTTCTCGAGAGGGAGGGCAGAACGGGGACACTCTCCCCAAATCACCGCCAGAGACAAGGACCCACACTCCACCTTTCTCTTGCTTGCAGCGATGACGGCAGGCAGCCACCGGCTCTCCCTGGTGTCCATCAACAGGAACACGACGTCGTGGCCTTCGATGAGCTGCTCCAGCTGCTGCACATCCCTGCGGGCCTGCTCCAGGGTGACGCTGGAGAAGTTCACCGGATGGCCCGGCATGGGGATGCTCATGTTGAACCCACTGGTGTTCTAGGGAAACAGCCATATGGAGGGGTGTCTGAGGCAAAGGGACGGGCGGCACCTCAGCCTGTGCCTCCTTGTCGCCACAGACATGTACGCTGGCCACTTACAGCCTGAAGTCCTCCCACGGCCACGCTGCTTTATCCTTTTGCTGCACATGCCCCTGCCTTCTTCACCTCTGCAACCGAGAACCCCCTGTCCTGTCACCCACGGTCCCTGAGGATGGACAGAGCAGCAGATAGATATACGCATCCTAGTTCCAAAGTAGGTGGGGGGCACTTCCCACACAAGACAAGGCAAACCCTGGAGAAACCTGTGTCCCTTTGGCTCTTTCATCAAAATGCTCTCTACCTGCCCAAGTCCCTCCGTGCAACTGTCTGTCCCCACTTGTTCCCAAACTGCCCTCCCCTCCACGTCCTTGGAGTAGAACACCTCCAAATGGATGTCAGAACAAAAATAACTTGGACTAATAAATTCACATAAGGTTGGAATGACTGGCAGTCTTGCCTTAATCTTCTTAGTGGTATATGCATTAAAAACAAACAGACAGAACCCCAAACCCTTCCCCCTCAAAACCGAAAAACTACTTGCTAACTTTAACCAGAAAATCCACTTGGGAGAGTGTGGGTATCTGACTAGGAGGCAGGGGTGGGGGTGGGCGATGGTGGAGTGTGGGACTGAGTGAAGCTTCATCTTCCATCCAAAAGCCGAGACGCCCAGCAGCCTGGATTCTCTCAAGTGTGGAGCCTTGGGATTTTTCACAGGGGCTTTGGGACAGCTCTGTAATTTCCATTTGTCCCCTGCTGGCCCCACAGTGCCTTGGCAGATGAACGGTGAGTCACATATGGGCGCCGATGAAGCCAAGGGAATTACCTTTCCACAGAAAAGAAAGTGTTCTAGAATCACAAGCTGCACCCTTAACCCCCTGCACAGCACTGGCCATGGGGAAGTGTGTCAGAACATGAGCTTTCTCACCTACTGGAAAAACAGCTCAGGGACAGAGGAAGTGGGTCCTTTCACAAAGGAGAATCTATTTTGTAGATTGTAGCTATTTTCTTCAACTTGAAACCTAACATCTGAAATTCAAGGAAGGCACAGTAGTAACAACAGGGAAAATTTCAAAAAGAATGAAAGGGGGAAAAAAGCAAGCAAAGCAGAAAGGACGCCAGGCAGAAAGGACTTCAGAAAGAAGAGAGGTTCGAAACAAGGCCAGTTTAACAACGAGAACACCGCAGAGACAACTCCCGGGGCCTCAGTAGTCCACCCATCCGCTCAGGAAGGACCGTGCACCGAATACTGTCATAGACAGGAAGAAACAGTAGCAATAATACCTCACTGTCTTCTCACAATTGACAAAACATTTTAAATGATGGTTGCTTGATCCAAAAAGCTATTACCTGGGTATTTTAATGACACCAAGGTTAAAGCATAGTTACTCAATACTAATGCTGACCTTTTGAATAATTCAGATCCTCACCCACATCTACTTGGCTAACCCAAACGAATCTCTGCTTCCTAAATCTCCAGCCAGTAAGCTCACGGAGGACTGGCTCTTGGCTCACCAAATTTAGGCCCAGAAGTCTGAGGCTAGGATTCAGCCAGTTTCACCATGGTAGTTCTCAACCCTGGCCGCACTTTAGAACTACCCAGGGAATTTTTTAAAGTTCTCAACCCTGGCTGCACGTTAGAACTACCCAGGGAATTTTTTAAAGTTCTCAACCCTGGCTGCACGTTAGAACTACCCAGGGAATTTTTTAAAGTTCTCAACCCTGGCTGCACGTTAGAACTACCTAGGGATTTTTTTAAATTCCTAGTGCCCAGGCTTTCCCTCAGACCAGTTAAACTGGGCCCAGATATCAATAGTTTCGAAAACTCTCCAGGTGATCCAGTGTGTAGCCAGGGTGAGGTGTAATTTACAAAGTGAAGTACACACATCTCAAGGGTCTAGTGCACTGTGTTTTGACAAACTGCAAATTAACCAGTGTGTATGCCTCTCAAGGTACAGACCACTACCCCAGACCATGGTCTTGTACCCCTTCCCAGTCAATCCCCACTACTCCCACCCCCAGAGGATGAGAGTTCTGGTTGCCCCACAGCCTGACAACATTTAGCATTGTCAGTCCTTTAATTTTAGATATTTTAGTGCGTGTGTAGTTATACGTCTTTGTGGCTCTAATTCATATTTCCCCAATGATGGCTGGTGTTGGGCATTCTATGTGCTCACTAGCCACTTACAGACCTTTACTACAAAAGTAGTGCCTGTCCAAGTCTTTGGCTCCTTTAAAAAAAGGTTTGTCTTCCTTAAAAAACTAAAAATAGAATTTCCATATGATCCAGCAATCCTACTCCTGGGCATACATCTAGAGAAAAGTCTAATTTGAAAAGACACATGCGCCCAAGTGTTCACAGCAGCACTATGTACAGTAGCCAAGCACATAAGCAGCCTGAATGTCCATCAACAGATGACTGGATAAGGAAGCTGTGGTATATTTATTTATACAATAGAATACTACTCAATCGTAAAAAAGAATGAAATAATGCCATTTGCAGCAACATGGATGGACCTAGAGATTATTACATTAAGCAAAGCAAGTCAAAGACAAACATCACATCTTGTAAGATATCACTTATATGTGAAATCTTTAAAAAATGATACAAATGAACCTATTTATAAAACAGAAATAGACTCACAGACATAGAAAACAACATGGTTTCCAAAGGGGAAAGTGGGGTTGTGGGGGGACAGGGGAGGGGTAAATTAGGAGTTCTGGATTAACACATACACTCTAATGCATACAAAAACAGATGAACAGCCAGGGCCTACTGTATAGCACAGGGAACTATATTCAATATCTTGTAATAACATGTAAAGGAAAAGAACCTGAAAAAGAGTATGAATATATATATATATATTTTTTTCACTTTGCTATACACCTGAAACTAACACGACATTGTATACTTCAATTTTTAAAAAGTGGTTTGTCTGTCTTATTATTGAATGGCAGGAGCTGTTTATGTATCCTGGATACAAGCTCTTTGCCAAATATCTGTAGTGTGAGTAGCTTCCGTTTCGGCTAGTTTTTTCATTTTCTTACCAGCATCCTTGGAGAAGCAGAAGTTTTAAATTTTGATGAAGCCCAATTTAACCATTTTTTCACTTATGATCAGCATTTCCAGGGTCCTAAGAATCTTTATCATCATGAGGTCACTAGGCTGCTTTCTCCTAGAAGCTTTCCAGTTGCAGCCTTTATGTTTGGCTCTATGGCCTTCCTGGGATGTTACCTAAGGGCTCAGAGCAGTCAGCGGGGTTTCTCCCCTCCAGATAGTTGGGACCCCAATGTCCCCCAGCCTCTGGGAGCTCTGGAACCTAATCTCACAGTAGAATCACGGTGCTTTTTGCCCAGATGACAAAGTCATACTCTGGGAATCAATAGCTTGGTATTTGGTCAAAGACTCAAGGTGCCATCTAGACAGGTTTTGGGAACTCCTTCTCCGCCAGCTCTTCCATGTCTGATGCTCTGTCCTGCAAATTACAGCCACTGCAACTGCTCTGAACACTGGTCTCGCTTTCCTCATCAAGACCAACATTACCTCCTCAGGCTCCCCAAGGGCTCTGGCATGGACTAAAAAGTGCCTTCGTTCAATCAACTGGGACAAACATTCCTTCCCTTTTGTCTGAGACCACAGCCTTCCACTGCCAATTGTTCATCATCTGAAGAGTCATTTTACACAATTTACCCAGGTGCATAATTTGTTTACGGTCCAATATCAGTTACTCAACAGGGCTGGATGCAGATGTCCAGAGCAGGCTTTTAAAATCTCTTGTGTGGCTCCATAATCCTCCATTTGATTGTCTTCCCTTTAGAAAAAAAATGGTGACCTCAAATAGTTACTTGATTTATTAAAGGTCATTTTTTTCCTATTCAATCAGTTCAACCCCAGGATCAGGCAGTGTTTGTAGCAGAGCAGTTCTATTCATGTCTTGCTCACTGAGGACCAGCCTTCCGTCCATGGCTCAGTGTAAGGAAGGTGATGAATAAATATTTGTTGAATGAGAAAACTATACTAATTGAACATACAAAGAAAATCGCATAAGCCTGGCTAATCTAAGTGAAACTGTTTCACAAGTACTTCCCACGAATTTGATGAATTCCACAAGTACTTAGCTGGGTTCTGTGTATCATCTACTACGGCTTGTAAGGCATGAAGGATAAAAGTGCAAACAAAAGACCTGGCTCCTGGCGGTAAGGGCTGAATAATCCAATAGGGAAAATGGCGGAACACGATGCAAGTGCTGAGGGAGAGGCTTGATCTGGTGGGCCGATGTCTCCAAGAAAAGTTGAACTTGATCTCTAAGGCCCAGCACGACCCGGCCCTTGCTTGTGCCCTAGCTTCGCAGCTGGCTTTCTCGACCTCCGTGCTTCAGCCAGCCTGCTTTTCTCTCAGTTCACAGAAGCGCCAAGCTGCTTGCTATCTCGGGCATCTGCACAGACAGTTCGGCCACCCTTGGTCTAGCGAACCCCTAACTGAACTTCAGGACTTAGCTTCTTCAAGGAAGTCTGGTCCAGGTCAGGCCTGCCCGATAAGCATCCTCATGGCAACTGAGCTCCTGCTTTGAGCACTTATTACAACTGTCATTGTTCAAGAAATTAGTTGTTACTGACCATTCCCCCCGCTAGACTCTAAGCCCCATGTGGGGGAGGGGGAACACTGTCTGCACTGCTTCCCAGTCCCTAGCGCATAGTAGGCCTTAAATAAATATGAGAGGAATGAGTGAGTAAAAGAATAACTGAACAAATAAACAGGGGGAGATGCACTGAGTCACAGACCACGGCTAGGATCTGGGCAAGCAACAATTTCAGGCAACTACTAAGTGGCAGAGCTCAGATTCAAAGTCAGGTCTGTCTGGGCCCCGGGAGGAGATCACAATACTCTCTGGTGATAGACTGGATTACTCTTCCTGCCTAGGCACTGCCTCCCTCTAGTAGAATCACATGCCCATGCCCTTTGCCACATGACTTTGCAGGCCATCCCATTAGGAGGGTGGGGTACACCGACCAACCCCACTGACCCAGGGCCTGGTCGTGTGACTTGCTCTGGCAATGCTCGTGAGGACGCCACCCAGTGTCATTACTGAGCTGACTTTAAGAGGTATAAGTATGGTTAAGTCTTACCAACTCCTTTTCACTTCCACCTTCTACCCTAAGAAGAGCAGGACCAGATGAGTGTTGCTCCCTGAGCCTATGTTGGGAAATAATGACACACAGAGCAGACCAGAACTTGACTTGAAGCCCGAGTCCAGCCGAGCCCAGCAGCTCAGCTGCAGTTAACGCGCAGACCTGTGCGTGTGAAATAGCTGTTTATGACTGTAAGCCCCCGAGATGCTGGGGTGTGTGATGTGCAACAGTCCCAGCAGAAACCTAACTAACACGCCTCCTCAGTGACGGGCTGGAACTTACTCTTTCCTCTTTTGACATTCAGCACCTCACAGGGCACATAACAGGTGCTCAGCCAATACTATTAAACCAAACCCAGCAAACGCCGTTCCTCAGGAACACTGGTGAAAGGGACAAAGCTGTCAAAGTTGCTTTTAAAGCAAAGACTGTTAAAATGAATGAATCTAATGCTGAGTGACTAAACAGAGAAACTTTGAGGAAGCAGGCGTTTTCTTAGCCAGAGCTGAGAGCCTCTTGTGGCACTTTAAGTACAAGCAGATGCTTCGGAGACACCTTCTAACCTCTGTCAGATAAACTGACTAAGCATGCAAGATGCAGACTCTCTTTTGCTGGATGACCTCAAAAACTCTGGCAAGATTTTGAATCCAATGAGCGGAACGACTTGCCTCTTCCTATCTGGTGTTCTGAAAGTAAATGATGCAAATCAAAGACAAGGAGCAACTAGAGTGAAAACATTTGGCCGGATCTTTCTCCTGCAGACTTACATTCAGCTTGATTTCATAAACCTGTACTACCTGCCACGTACTCTGGTGATGAAGAAAAACAGCACCCTACGTCTGTGCCACCAGAGACCCCTGTGGAAGACGGCATGCCCCCCCCCACGGCTCAGCTCAAACTCACATAATGCTCTGCAACTTGGAAACATTTTTTCATATATTCTTCATTTTATTTTCACAATAATATATGAGCGTTTTGTTTTGTTCTTTTAATCCCTGTCTCTGAGATGAGGACATAAAGGCTCAGCCACATGATAAAGGCTGGTAGCAAGTGACAGTGTCTGACTCTCTTTCACCAATACCACAGGGCCTCATCCCCCCAACTTGAACACTGAAAGATTCAGGTGAAAATCTCTGACGTCCGCAAAGGGCATCAACGTACCACTCCGGGGAATATTTTCTGGAGCCGGTCTGCTGCCGCCACGGCCTTGGGCTTACCACCTGCCAGGCAATCTTCAAATTCATAGAGAGGCTGCCTCACAGGGTTGGAATAGGAGATCTTGGCATTGTCCACAAACGTGATGTGTCTGACACCCCAGCCCTGCATGGAAACAGGAGATCATGGTGTGTTTCTGATGACCATTTCACAGGAGGTCTCTCCTGAAATCCCTAAAAGCAGTTTTGTTTGGGAGTAGCCTCGGATCCTCAAAATACAGGAAACTTCAGAAATTTAATTGTGCAAATTCAGTTTTTGATAAACAGAGTGTCAACTTTCTTTAAAAGACGAAGTAATTACATGAGCCTGGTTTCCTGCAGTAATGAGACTAAGAAATGTCAGAGTGGGTCTGACTAATAATTCATTTTTGACAGCAGCACCAGAGGAAGCTATGGAGGTGAGTCCCATAAGAACTGCCTATGTTGCTGTCTGAAAAGGATAAGCAATAGCTGCTCATTGTCCTGGCTTTCCTTTAATGAATAATTAAGCATAAATAACAGCACGTCCTAAAATTCACTTACAGCCTGAGTTAACTCCACGTAAAAGTGACTTGTAAGTTATTTCTAATTGTATAACATCACAGAATATTTTGTACTAGTTCTCCAACAGGCAAAGGCCTTATTAATATTCTGGAACACAGCGGAGACAATTCTGCATTCTCAGAAAGAGTTTTCACACACTTCAGTTACATCCCCTATAAAGTCTTATAGAACCACCCAATTTTACAGGAAGGCTCTCTAAAATCTTTAGTCAAAATTATTGTGTTTTACAGATACTAAAACTGAAATCCAGAGAAGAAGTGATTCATCTTAGGTCAGAGATCTGGTTAGTGGTGGGGAGGAAATGGGATCCCCAGAGTGGCAACCAAATGAAGATGCCTCCTTTTTGGCGGGTGAGATGAGGGATGTGTATTTCAGTGAGTCCTCAACGAGCACAGTGAACTAAGAGAAGCCCTGCTGGGACGGTCACAAAGCAAAGGTTCTGATCTCTGTCTTATTTCAGTATCCTTCCTCGAGGGACTCAGAAATTCAGTCAGACTGATGGCTCCGGGGGATGGTCAACAACAACCCAAGACTCGTTCTCAGGGTTCAGAATGGTGGACCAGAATCCATCCTTTCAAAATCATAGTTTAGATCAGCCATCTGTTTTGAGGCCCACTGGTAACTGTGGTCGACCAGCTCAGTTTTATAAGTGACTTTCACCAGTTAATAAGCCAACTACCATGGAGAGGAAACAAAGGTACGGAAAATTCAAAAGGCACCTGTGCTTGGTTTAAGGCTATTTATTTCGGAAGTATTTTTGCATTCCTTAAAGCAATGCTGAGTGGATAGCAAGGAAGGCAGTCTGGGCACATGCTGGGCAGCAGGAAGAAGCCAGAGAAATTGCAAACATGCCTTAAGTTAGTCACATGCAGGTGGACTTTCACACTTAACTTCTGGTTTCCTGGAATGCTACACAGTTTAAATGGCTAATCTGCAAAGATTAAAGAAAATCACAATGCTCGATGCTGGTGAGGATGGGGTGATGAAAAAACTATTTTACTGGTTGAGAATGAAAACTGGTATAATTTTTCTAGAAAGCAATTTAACAATCTGTTTCTAGAATGTTTTAAACGTTCTTATCTTCTGACCTACTTCCAGCGATCTATCTTAGGAAACAGTCTGAAATACTGACAAAACTGCAGTCACAAGGATGTTCTCTGCAACATAATTTATAGTTGTAAGAAACTGGAAGCAATGTTAATGTCTGACACTAGGGGATTGTCTCAGTAAATCACGTCTCATCATATGGGAAGGCATAGACCAGAGCCGTTAAAAATGCTTTTTAGGCATCCTTTTTAATGACATGAGGAAGTGTTTACAATGCTAAGTGACGATAGCAAGGGGCATTTATATATATTCAATAAGATTTAAAAATATACATAAAACAAACACTGAAAGGAAATAAGTGGGAAAGTAGTAGGAAAATCTTCTTTTCTTGCTTTATAAATTTTATGCCTTACAAATTTTCTATTATGGGTCTACAGTGACTTTGCAATTTTAAAAATGCTAATAAAATCTAAGCACCTACTTCTGGAAGTTAGGAAAAGAATAAAATAAATTTCACAAAATTAGGAAGAAATTAATAAAGAGAAAAGTAGATATTAATGAATTTGAAAACAAAAACAAAAATTATACAATAAACAAATCGAGAATTTAGTTTTCTGAAAAGGCAAGCCTCTCTGGCAAGTCTGAACAAGCGGAAAAAAGAGAAAATATAAATATTTACCACTAGGAATAAGGAGAGATTAAAAAGAAGATAAAGATTCAAAAGAAGGTAAGAGAATATCATATATATTTACATCAATTAATTTTCAAATTAAGTTGACATGGAAGATTTTCTAGGAAAACAACCTAACTAAACTGACTCAAAAGAGGTACAAAATCTAAAAAGGTCAATCAATGCAGAAACATTTGTAGAAGCTCCCAAAGAGCCCCTGTGCTCACCACAATAAAATTCCACAAGTCACCAAGCTCAGCTAGACTTAGGACTGATTGTTACCAAACCACCAAGTATTAAGTCATACACTAAACTGTCCTGGAGCATAGAAGAAGGAAGAAAGTTGTACTTTATAAAAGTAGCATAACTCAGCTATCAAGATATACAAAGATCACAAGGAAAAGCATTACTCTAAACCAACTTGACTTATGAATACAGATGTAAAAATTAGCAATAAAACATTATCAGAATCCTCTATTATATCAGAAGAATAAATAGGGGTTTTTCCCAGAACTCTCAACATTAGAATATTTTGATTTTCTTGATAGCTATATTTGATAAAGCTCAACAATCATTTCTGATAAAAACTCACAGTAAACTAGAAATGAAAATCCACCTCCTTAACTTATAAAAGAGCATTTAGCAGAAACCAAATGTTACATATCAAAATTAAAGGAAAAAACAAGAAGTTTCTCATTAAAGTCAGTAACTAAACAAGGATGCCAACTCTCACCACTATTCCTCAACATTACTACAGAGTCCTAGCCAATCCTGTAAGACAGAGAAAAGAAATAGAGACATAAATGTTGTGAGGGAAACTTACCAACCTACAAAATTCAAAAGAATCAAATAGAAAACTATCATAACTCAGAGAGCTTAGAAAGATGGCGAGATAGAAGACAAACATTCAAAACTCACTGTCTTTCTTACATATCCCAGTACTAGCCAGCTGGAAAAGTTAGTGGGAAGAACATACCTTTAAAGACAAAAAAAAAAAAAAATTAAATATGTGAAAATGAACGAAATGGGACCCATGGGAGACCTATATAAAGAAAATACTACTGAAGGACTAAGATGATCTAAATAATTTAAGAGCTCTACAGTGCTTCTGGGACTAAGGGTCAGTACTGTTAGGACTCCAATCCCTCCCAACTTAACTGTAAATTCATTTTTTTCCCTGAAGTACACTCAGTTATAATGTGTCCATTTCTGGTATAAATTCATTTTAATTTGAATTAAAATGTGAGTAATAATGTAGGAATGAACCAATGAAATGAGAGAACAAAATAGAGAATTCAAAAAGAGACTCAGGTACATAAGGGGATTTAGTGTTTGATAAAGGCGGGAAATTATAATTTGGATTATTGAATGAAAGTCATTAAAACAAATGACTATCCATTTTGTGGGGAAAAAACTGGATCTTTACCTCTCACCATATAACAAGAATAAATTCCACATTGACAAAGATCTAAACAAACAAACAAACAAAAAAAACAAGAGTTCTATGAACCATAAAGGAAAAGATTGACGTATTCAATAACACAAAGTTTTTAAAAGCTTTTATACGGCTAAAGATAACTTAGATAAACTGAGAAAAATATTTGTATCATATTACAGGAAGAAGGCTAACATCCAAAAAAAAAGAATTCAAGGCAATAGAGGAAACACAGCTCAAAGGACATGAATAAAATAAATAAAGTATGTAAAAAAAATTAGAGATTAACCACTAATTAAAGAAATGCAAATTAAAAAGCTCTGTTTTATATTCTAAGATAGCATTTCTACTTCTAGGACTTTTTTCCTAAAGAAATAATCCTATGGATATGTAAAGAAATAAGAATCTTCACTTCAACAACATCTCCTAAAGAAAAATATGCTGAAATTGATTAAACAAATTGAGGCCAAGTCACACAATAAAATACTATACATATACATGCCACGGAACACATAAAAAGAGAACCACAATTATTGTTCTATTAAGTTAAAAATAAAAGCCTGTTGCAGACAGTATGCTATGATCCAACTGCTGTAAATATAAGTAAGAGCGAGCAAAGATGACAAATGCGTCTCTGTATTGCATATGCCTGTGAAAACCTCAGGGAAAGATGCTGCGTAACAATCTGTGAACTCTGCTTCATTCGTGGAAGTCAGACTTGGGAGGGAGTGGATGGAGGTTTCCTGTTTCTGCCTTATAATAAAAGCATGTAATCCTTTTATAATTAAAGAGATGCTGAGAAAAGAAGAAAGGGAGGGTGAGAGGGAAGGAGGGAGAGAGGAGAAGGAGTATCCGGGAGATGGAAGGCACTCAGATACATTCATCCCTTGGTATCCGTGGGGAACTGGTTCCAGGAGCCCCTGGGGATGCCAGAATCCACAGATGCTCAAGTCCCTTGTATAAAATACAAGGCCCTCCACATCCTTGGATGTGAAACTCACAGGTACGGAGGGTGGACTGTACAGTGAAATAAGAAAGGAAGCCACAGCTTCAGAGGTAACTTTTGGCTCCCACAAACTTACCATCAGCGTCCTAGCTACATTACAACCCAAGGTGCCAGCTCCAAGCAGCAGACACTTGACAGACACAACTCTGTCTAAGTCCAAAGTAGGGACCAATCTCCAACACATCAATTTGAGATTTAGATCCACTGATGACTCAGCTAACCTAGAAAATGAGAGAATTACTATTTACTTAGCCAGTCACTCATTTATGCCCCAATCTTGTCCTTATTAGATAAAAAGCAGCTACATGAGAAAATAAGAAGCAAATACTAAGAAAATTAGGGTCACAGGGAAGATAAAAGCCTGAGGGTCAGCGGGAAGGAGAAAGGTTACCCCAGAGAGCGCACGGCATCATCATCTATCGCACCTGCAGAGGGATGGGTGTGGCACTGAGCTCCCAGCAGCAACGTGAAATGGGAAGTATGACCAGTTATAGGAGCTACTGTGTCCAGGAATAAAAACACACCAGATGCTTAAGAGGACAGTTCTGCCTAATGCTGAAAACAGAAATTTCTGTCCCCTCAGTAAAGGGGGTACTTATATCGTGCCTTCAATACAAGTCTGGTTTCTGTGAAATATTTCTTATAATGGCCTTCAATGCAGGCTAATGGGACAAAATTGAAGGGCAACGAATAAACGACTAAAAAGTTGTGTAGGTGCACAGTCTGAGAGTCCAAGCTTGAAGCAAGAACAAAATCGAGAATGTCTGGAAACACAGATGAACTGTGTGCCCTTCAGGATACCCATCGTTAATATTAATTCTCACGACCAAACAAATTCAGAGGCAGCAAAAAGTGGGATACCACGCATCGCCCACACGAATGGCACCCTCCCCCCCGACTCAACTGGGCAATGCGCCTGGCCTGACAGAACCTCGCGTGCATTCTGGTTACAAAGAGACCCCCTGGAGACGGCAGCTTTCAAATTTTACCTCTTAGGGTCCATACATTCGCTGAGGTTCACCATCCTTGGTCCCATGCCTCCTTTCTGGTTCTTTTCCCATCCGACTGCTTTGGGACAATCTTAAGACAAATGAAACAGTACATTTAGTGAAGGAGGGAAGAATAACAAATAAGTCAAAGCAGCAAGATGGCCCATGAGTTGATAAGCCTTTAGTTCATTTCTTTTTCAAGGAGGTTCGCAGGCTTGAATTTGCATCTACTTGCCTCAGTTGCTTCCCCATCTCCCTCAGTCACTAGGAATCTGTTTGGAGACCCTCAGTGCTGAGCAGTCTTCCTGTAGAGGGGCTCCTGAAATAGCCTTGGCCTCTGGCCTGAGCTGCCTCAACATCTGTAGTTACCAGAAGCTGCTCAAAAAGAGACACTCATCTCTGGAGCGTGTCTAACCCTGTGGAAGGCTCTCTATCGAAGGAAGACAAGCCAGGGTGACTGTGGCACACCTTTCGCTGAGTTCCCATCAGGATTTGAACCTCTTCATTCCATGCGCCCCACCCCCACTCATCCTTACTGCATCCCTCCGCCTGGCCTCTCGGTTCCATCACTGCGCACCTACCTGTCTGCAGATCACAGTCTAAGGGACTGTTCTTCTCTTAAGCTGCCCTCTCCTTAAGCCCATCCTTAACCACCCAGACTTCCCCTTTCCCTGACTTATCCCTTTTCCACTAACCTCTTTTAACCTCTGCAGCGGGTGCCCCTGTAACTCCAATTCCAGCTGTTCTCAAAATGTGCCCTCCACAAAGCTCGGCGAGATCAAGGACCCTATGGCTAATGAGCTTGGGAAATGCTGCTATTCCCCTGGCTAGGTGCTCTGCCTGCCTCCAACCACCCAAACCTGGAGATTCACATCACACATAAAGGAGGCAAAGCTCTGAGCAGCCTGCAGTAAAGGAGCCACTTCACTCGATTTGGCTTTGAGCTTCCCAAATTTACCTGGCTCTCTGCACCTGTCACCCGGTAACACCAAGTAAAATCTCATGGGACACATTCGGGGAAATGCTGCTCTATTCTATTGTTGCAAAATCCTCCAAAAAATCTGTTACTTTGCAGAACACTCGTGCTACCTCCTCACCTCAGTGGAAACCTGGCTTTCTTGGTGGAATCCTGGCGGTGCAAATCCTGCTACTGGGGGGTACCCGCTCTTACACTCCCTGCACCTTGGGACCTCAGTCCCTCTCCCCTTCTCACCGAATCCCCTAAATACACAAAAAAGCATCAACTCCTTAGCAGGGAATTCACTCAGCCACAACCTACCCTCCAGCATCTACTTTGAGTCACAGTCTCCAAAGGACAGAAGCTCCTTGGCTTGAGGTTCAGAGGTACAGGGGCACCAGGAGGAATTCTGCATCTGTCTCTGATTGCTCACTGGTTTCCTGCAGACCTTCTCTTGCTTTTACATTTCTATCAACGCCTCGTTTTCCTCTCCTTGGGGACTTCGCAGCTTCTGGCCTTTTTTCTTAAAATAATATTGCTCAGTATAATTATGGGAACTAAAGGTGTTCAGTTCCTCTACACAATATTATCTTTCTGGAATAGGATGGCCAATGGGAAGCCAGGGGGCCAATTACCTTAAAAAGCTACCTGGCTGGGGGCAACTTTCACAGCAAGAAGCCAGAAGACAAATGTCCCTTCCTGTTTTAACTCAGGTGCTCTGGTGTGGTTCTTTTTATGCCATGAAAAATTGAAACTAAAATAAGAGATTTGAGTTCTTTAAGAGGATAAGAACTCCAAAATTATTTTTCTGGAGAAAAAAAGAGTTCAGATCTGTTACTAACTCACATTTTGTTTGATTTAGTCACTATTCTTACTTTTTTTTTTTAAATACAGCTACTGGGGATTGAACCCAGGACCTCATGCATGCTAAGCATGCGATCTACCACTGAACTATATCCTCTCCTGATTTACATTAAATTTTAAAATGGTTCTCTAACACCTAGCACAGAAATTTGACAAGAACTTCAGAACCACAGTCTAATACTATAATTAATGTCTCCAGCCTAAGCTTTCTGCTTTTACAGATAAGAAATCATAAAAGCAAAATGTCATTTCAAATGAAAAGATCTCTGTACTTAAGATGTTACAGCCATTTTAAGAACATTAGCTGTACTTTAAACTTACTAATAATTTTAAAAAATACTATATATGGCCATAATATCTAATTTATCATATCTGCTGCCATATAATCTACGCCCATAGAAAATACCCCGTTAATGAGAAAATATCTTTTAGGGGGAAATCCGGCCCTGTTTCCCGAAGTTGGACAAACAGGGGGAGCACGGCCAGGACAGGCGGGGCTTCCCCCGCCCCCCACCTACTACCCCCCCACCCCCCTCCCTGGCAGACTCCGCTGCGCCTTCAGCAGGCTGCCGGCTGCCAGGCGCTCTGTCAGCAAAGGAGAGTGAGCTTGGCTGCACACACGAAGAACAAAACAAGACATTTAAAATTCTATTTCTTATACCACTGTCATTGCAACTGTGGGATGTCTTAGAAATACAAAAAGATACTACCATACTGATACCTTCCGTTCACACTATGATATACAATAACCCTTTATAAAGTTTTATTTACAGCTAAGAGGGAAAACATTAATTTACATGAAAAGAGGAACATTTGCCTTTCTTAAACGAAATCATCTACACTCAATATCAAGTGTAAAGACGTACCGAGGGCATCACTGCACCAGAGAAAAAGCTCTTCTTCAAACGGAAGTGCTTTGCCAGCTTCACCAAGCATCAGTGATATCACTGGGAGCAGGGCATTATGAGTAATTCAGCAACTTTATCTTAAAAATGGAAAGAGCAGTGTCTTCCCCAGCAGGTGGTTGGCAGGGTTAAGGGAGCGACGTGTGGAAGCACCCGGCGGCCTGCCGGGTGTAGACCAGGCGTGTTACTGGTTAGTTCACGCTCACCTAGTTCCCGGGAGCTACCTTCAAGCTGCCACTCGGTAAAACAAAGGTGTGGCACGCCAGGGAACATCACATGGAAGCTATTTCAGAACAGGCCAGAAGAGGGCGCTAAATCAAACGCAAATATCCGAAGACAGAGGCCAGAGGTACCTTCAGGCTCTAAACTAGCAAGCAAACAACTTCCTCTTTGGCCTCACTGAGCAGAAGACCCTGTCACGCTTTCCGAGGAAGTCTATTTAAGATGCTCTTCTTGCTGAGCCAAAGAATCACTGAGGAAATGTTGTCAGAGCCAATTCTGAACCCTTCTGACTTCCGCTCTCTAGAAATGACTTCTCAGAAGAGATTCTAACCCTTCCCCCAACCCCCAAAACAGACACACACTTTAAGGCACATGACTCACGGAATTAAAGACAGCCATGTGCCTTGGAACGACGCAGATGCCGTAAGGAGCAAATTAAACAGCGTACGTGTATCAAAGTGCTTTGGAAAGCGTGTAAGTCATAGGGGTCTGAGGGTTCATTCTGGAAAGAGTGCTGGGCTTTGGGTAAGATAGGAAAGTAACATAAATTAGCATTTATCAGGCAACTGTAATACGCCAAACATTGAGTCTGTCTTTTACACCGGACTCAGAGTCCTCACAAGGGGTAAGTTATTGCCTCTATTTTACTCAAAATTGAGTGTGTTACTCCGTCTGTGTGACATGTACCTAAATATAAATATGTAAGTAAATGCAGGTGTGTATACACACACCCACATCTACGTACATAAAGTGTCTGTGAGCCCAAGTTTCCTCATGGGGACAACAGCTGCTGTCCACCACACGGGAGCAGATCACGTGAAGGCTATTAAACGCACGAGGAGAACGGCGCTTCTGCTGCCTGGCTTACTATACGGAGATCACACATCACTTCTTGTAACAAATAAAGATGTAAATGCATTAATACCTCATTCTTCCCGTAAGAAGGGTAAAGAATAAAGACTTTATGTTAAACAAAAACAAAAACTAGGGGGAAAATATTCTGAAGACCGAAAAACTGCCTGGAGGAAATTTCCCAAGGACAACCTCCGCCTTTGTTCCTGTCTGAGTAGCAGAGCACGCCCTCTGTTCAAGGGAAGCGTTCCCCTTGGCAAAGAGTTAGGAGTTAAACCTGATTTGGTTTCTGATAAATGATAATTACATGCATCCTCAAAGACTGGAAAATTACCTGGGCTAAACGCCATTTCTGGAAGCTTCACTTCGAAGATGATGCTGTGGGTGATGTCTCTCACTCCCTGCAGGGTGCGGTCCCGGAAGCAGAGGACTTCAACAGACTGGAAACTGCTACTCCTGATGGCAGGCCCCGGGTTTTTATTTTTGTTTTAAGGAAGGAAAAGAAAGAGCTCACGTAAGAGCTTTGGCAAACCCAGATGGAGAAGATTCAATTCCTTGTAATCACGCCTCCCTGACACCTTCAGGGGATGGCCTTAACCTTTGAGAGATTTTCATCACATCTACATAAGCTTCCTTTGTCTAGGTGTTTAGAGGCTGAGCACTGAACTGGCTGTGATTTTTCTTTAGGTGCATTTTATATAACAATTTTACATTGTACATAAATAATTCTGACACATGAATCTTAAATACAGGGGGGAAAAAAAGCTCATAAGACATTAAAAAGAAACTCTAAGACAAACATGGGTTCTTCTGGTCTCCCTTCTCCCGTCTGAACCTATAGTCCAGCAACAGTGAGGAGGCCCCTGCCCCGCAGACTCTCCTCCAGGATCAGCAAGTTTAACCACTCGCCCTCCGGGGACGACTGCTAATTTATCTACCTTTAGTGAATACCGTTACGTAAGTAAAGCAGATACAAGGACAAGTACACAAACCCTAAACACAAGGAGTGTGTCTCATGCCTTCTCCCAGTCACTACCCAGCCCCTTCAAAGGTAACCACTGCTCTTAAGTCCATACATGGGTTTTGCCTGTTTTGACCTTTGCACACATGGAACCATGGAGCACGAATTCATTTAGGTCCAGCCTCTTTCACTCAATAGTATGTTTTTTAAATTCATCCATGTTTGATATGTGTACCATTCAGATTCACTACAACACTGCATTCCACTGCAAGGAACACACCACCATTCACTGTCCATCCCACTGTTGAAGGACATCTGGGTTATTACCAGGGTTTGGTTATTAAGAATAAGGCTGCTATAAACTTTCCTGTACATGTGTTTTGCTTGCACCTGAGTAAGCACATCTGTGCTTTATATACCTGAGATGGAAACTGCCGAGCCTAGAAGTTCTGAACTTTGGGAGATACTGCCAAACAGGTTCCCAGCAGTGTCTGAGGGTTCCAACTGATCCACATTTTTGACAACACTTGGTACTGTCACCTTGTTGAACTCATTCTGGTGAGCATGCAGTAGTATCTCGGTATATTTTCCTTCCTTGATGACTAGTGATGTTGAGCATCTTTTCAAATGTATATTACCCTCTGTTTTATTTAGTTTAGAGTCAGGGAAAGGGGAGGATGGTAGCAACAGGAAAGTCCTATCCGAGAGCGACCCAGAGAGCTATAAAGGGAGGGCTAGACAATTTCAGGACTGGGACTTCCGGCCGCTGGCCCTGCCCTACGCAGAAGTATCTTTAGTGCAGTATAGTCAGAGTCTGCGGTTCCACAACAGACTTGCTTAGTGGCTCACCACTGACAGAAATGGGCTCATGACTGACTTATTGATTTATTATCTGGTTTCTTTGGCAGCAATTAAAAGATGCCTTTGGGAAAACAGAAATACAGATATAGTCAGATGCAATGTCAAAAACATATAGACAAAGACAGACACAGAGACAGACAAACACACACACACACACACGCGTAAATACCATCTGTGGGCTGCGAGGACCAAAAAATTCCTCAAAGGCCAGCCAGGGTACTGGGCTAAGTTACAGGGATCATATACACCGACAGTAATCTGTGAACAGAAAAGACTTTCTGAGTGAGTCAAGTACCATGTCAGATGCAAAACACAAAATCTGCTAATCCTGCCTTTTTCCTATTTATGCTGTTTTGCAAAAGCAGCAACGATGAGACACTTGGCGAAGGGCTGGGGGGAAGAGGAGAAAGCAAAAGGGTCTCACACCAGACGGCACGGGCTGCCCAGTTCGTCTCTGCACCCCCTGCGCCTTGCACTGGGCCTGGCAGAGAGTAGGAACTAGATACAGTTAGAAGGAAGAACTGAAAGGAAGGCAGGGAGGGAGGGCAGTCACTTGTCAGGGCTCTCATTAGGAAAATCCTCTCTCAAAGAGACATAATCAGTAAAAATTGCTAATTTTTATGTAATGGGAAAATCAAAGAAGGCTCACTACTATTGTAAGTCTGTAGTCAAATCAAGCTAAAAAGCCAGATGCCTCTTATACTGCTAACATATATTTCCTCCCACTCTTCCCAACTCCAACTCCCCCAGCACTGATCTCCATCTGGAAAACTCTACTGAACTTCAAAAACCCTTTCTTCAGTGAAGACTGCTCTTGGTGGAAGCAGTCTCACTCTGTCCTCTGCTTCCACAGCTCTTTGTACCTTATATGTAACATTTCCCACTTTTTCAGTCTCCTTCCTCTCACAAGACAATGAGATCTTGATTTGTAAATACCATTCTCCAGTAAAAGGGATCAGGGCTCCTTGGACATGTGGCTAATTACAGGGCTGCAGCAGGGAAAATACAAGATGAGCCTGGAGCACCTTGCAGAGCAGAAAGTAACGAAGTGCTCAACAAACAAAAGGATGGGGCGTGTCAAGGGGATCCCAGAGACAACTGGGAGAGCCCCCAGTGGCCGTGGCTGGAGTAATCTGAGCAACAAAATAAATATGTAGTAAGTATAAAATCAGTATCTACGAGTCCATACTGATATAAATAAATAAATGATGAGACAAATAAATGTAAGAAGGTGAAGGGACACGCCCTCCTTACAGAAGGTTCCCAAACAGCACATGTAGACACCGCCACCTCCAGGAGGACAGCTTAATCCCTCTCCTCCTTGAGACCGGGCTCCTCTTGGCCACTTGTTCCCCTTGTAAAAAAAAAAAAAACCCAGTAGCTTTGCAGTAGAGAAACTGGCAAATACTACCTTAATAAGTGATGAAGGTTAGCATCACCAGGGATGTGAGTATCAGGTACCCCACGATAAGGTGTGGCCAGGGCAGTTCACTGCAGTGTATTCTCTCCAAAAGCCCAGACCCCATCATAAGAAAACATCAGACAACCCAAATTAAGAGGCGCTATACTGAAAAAAAACTGAACCAGGGCTCTTCAAAACTGTCAAGGTCATCAAAAACAAGGAAAGTCAGAGGAAGTATAACAGACCAGAGAAGATGAAGGAGACGTGACAACAGAAGGCAATGTGGTCTCCTGGATGGGACCCTGGGAGGAAGAAGGATGTTAATGGAAGAATTGATGAAGCCTGAATAAAGTCTAGATTTTAGTTAATAGTTAAGTAGTAATGTTGGTTTCTTCCTTTTGACAAAGGTCCCAGGGTAATGTAAGGTGATAACATTAGAGAAAACTGAGACGGGTGAGGGTATATGGGAACCCCCTGTGCTATATTTCAACTTTTCTGTAAACCTAAAATTATTCCAAAATAAAGTTCATTAAGAAAAAAGAATGTAGAGAGCAGGGACTATCTTCCATCTCTCCCAGGTCAGTTCACAGATACACAGCGTGTGCTTGGTGATGCAGGCTGAATGATGAAAAGAGGGCTGGATGGATGGAAGACTGGGAGGGAAGGGCGGAGGGGACAGGTGGAAGGATGGATGGATGAGTGGCTGAGTGAAAGGAGGCGGGGCAGATGGCTGGCAGAAAACCACTAAGTTAACCCAGGAGTTTCCTTTTTAGGTATAGTTGTGGATTAAATAAAAACATGGCAGAATTTTGGTTAGTCTAGACTGGTGAATTCTCTAAGGATGCGATCAGCCCACAAGGTTCCATTTATTCACTGCAATGCTTGGGACAGTATGAGACACAAAGCAGGACCTTAACCCACATTCAGTGAAAGGGAAGGAGGGGAGGGAGGAAGAGAGAATACCCAAAAAGCCACCACTAGAGAACCACGACCGACACCCCATGTACAACCTCCTGTACCTTTATTCTCTGTGTAAATACATATTTCACTAGTAAAACTTTTAAACAAAAATAGGCCCAGGCTATAAATACTGCTTTATATCTCTTCATCTATTGGGATCTCTCTTGCATGTCAATAAATGTCATTCTACAACCACTGTCAGTAGTGGGTGAAGGGCATTCCATTGCACAGATGCACCACAATTTTCTCTGTCCTATTAAAGGACAATTAAGTAGTCTTTGTCTGTGAAAATGAATTTTACTATTGTCTTAATCAGATAATTATTACCTTATTTCAAAAATGATCTTTAAAAATGTTTGCTCTCTTCTTTGCTATGTGAAATCTTACCATTCCTGAGACTGAAGCTTTTTGTCTTGATGCATTTTCATGTTTTAAATGCAAATGATAGATTCATCTTTAATGCAATACAGATTCATAGCTACAACCATCCTTTCAGGAAATACAGGATACCTCTGAGATTTCCTTTCCCATGGGGAGATAAAACACCAGCATCTAGGCAGCTTTTAAAAACAGAGCTCGTAGACCATTCTGAGTCCTGACCCTTCCGCAGGAGTGGCCGAGGGCAAATCCATCAACTGCCTGAGTTCTTTTAATCTGAATCATGGGGAAAATAACAGAACCTACTTCACAGAGTTGTAATGAGGACCAGTGGGATGGAGCTGAACACGAGAACATGGGAAGCCCAGCACCCGCAGTGCTTCTGACATATTATCAGTGACTGCGGGTCTCCCTGGGCGAGCCTAGCCACCTGTGTCTGGACCAAGCACCTGAGTGATTCTGATATAGCTGGTCTAGTTGACGGACTTGAATTTGGGAACCATCAGAGAAGGTGGTCTTGTAGACAAAACAGAAAAATTGCCTGTGGGGCTATTTTTCATTACTTTGAAAACTCTGGATTGGCCCGATGTCCTCCCTGGCTCTGCAAAATGTGGTCCCTGCACCAGTGTCACCGGCATCACAGGGGAGCCTGTCAGAAATACAGACTCCCCGGGTCCCCGCCCCCAGCCCTGCTGAATCAGAATCCACATTTTAACAGGACCCAGGTGGTCTGCGTGCTCAGTGCAGTTTTCGGGGCACTGCTCAGCTCTTCAACCCTCTCCAGCCCAGGTTCTCACATTTAATGCACAGGGGAGTCACCCGGGAAGCTTTCATTTCAGTACTGGCTGCCTCGGGACTAAGCAGGAGAAAACCAGGGCTTGCTTAAAACAGGGTGCACTGCACCCTAGGTTCTTCCACACAGTAACTGTGACTATTTGTTAAGCCTCTGTATTTTCTTAACTCAAAGGCACCAGAGATTATAAAATGCACTTTCAAATTGGACAGAAAAAAGGGAAACGTCACCACATTAAATATACACAACAGTCAGAAGCAATTCCTGACTTTAGAAAAATTAAAATATGGGGGAAAAGCACTTAGAATGGAGAAAATACAGGAGGCACTTCCTGTTTCTCTTGCTGGTCTGCAAGGCGTGTGAGCGCTGCAGCAGTCTGCTGTACTCAGCTTTCCAGCCCGAGTGCCTGGCACAGGACCTGATGCTCAGCAAATGCTTGCTGAATAAATGACAGAACTGGTCACTTTCTTAGGCCCCCAGTATATGGAAAGCTCTCCACCTTCACCCCTGCACTGGGCAGAGGTCCTGGGAGGCAGCTGGACGAGGAAAGGCTGGTCTTTGACCGACAGACCTGAGGCTTATGTATAAATCCATGATGCAGCATCCCGGTGGGTACCTCCCCACCCCCACCCATTTCCTTTCTCAACATTATAGGTTTTCCGCTCAGGGACATTTTAACCCTGGGATCCTCCTGGGTGAGAATGCGAGAGTATGGTGTAGAAGAGGGTTTCCTATATGAAGAAGAGAACTCTGAGAATGAGGCCGCCGGCCTAGGGTTCCCTCTGAATGAAGACGTTGTCTTCCTGGGGCTCTTCCAGTCCTGGTGGCCACCGCCACTATGGGGGACACCTTCTTATCCTGTTCCCCTCTATCGACTGTGACAGATGGTATCTGCCAGACTACATTTATTAAGTAATCATCACCTCAACTTCACATTTTTAAAATTCATCAAGGGTATTTACAACACTGATATTCAGCAGGAAATGGGGGAAATGGGAGCAACTGGCATTCTACTGCTGTAACAGTCCCAACAGCTTAGGGAAGAGGATGGCCTGATGCAGCGGGGAAAGCACCGGCTGGAGGACCAGCAGGCACGCCCTCCAATGCTGCAGCTAACTGATCTTCAGACCCTGGGCAAGTTCTTCCCTCACCTGTAAAATGAAGCAGTAAAATCGTTCCATCTCAAAGGATTCCTTCTAGCTCCAGAATTATGGAGCTTTATAGACCATTCAAGAGAAAAAAAAAATCCTCCATAGGTTACAAAACAACACAGACTCAGCTAAGGCTCAACTTCCCTGGGCATCTGAAGGCTCTTCAATTGTCATTTAGGAAGAACCCAGACAGGATCAGTCCAGAAAGTGCCATTCATACAGAGATGCTGAGTTTCAATGTTCAATTATGACTCCATGACCCTGGGCTCTTATCAAATGTCCTGAGTTACTTACTCTCCTGCGAACTGCAGCAGTTTACTTAACCTCTCTCTGCCTTCATTTTTCTCATCTATAAGCTAACTCTCATCTGCACTTAGCACAGAGACTGGGAACAAGCCAAGTACTCAACAAACGGCAATTATAACAACTATATAAATAAACGCTGACAGGAACTTCATTGACCCCTTTGTTCAGGTGTCTATCACTGTCACGTAGTTACCTACCTTGACTGACAAGGTTATCTTTTCTTAACTGGCAGAGAAAAGGGAGGATAAATTCTACTTATCAAATATTC